ACGGAAAGCATCATCGGTGCAACTGTGGATTGCATACAAAATTATGTTATCTGAGCAAAATTAGTCGATTTTAAAACAATTCTTCACCCCATGTGATTGAGAAAAAAATATACAATGTCTAGAGTTTCATCTCGATTTAGAAGATCTATTAGACAGAAAGATTCGGCAAAATTAATATTTTTTTCCAAATTATACTTTCGGTCTATATTTAAACGTGGTTTTGTTTTGTTTATATTTTAAGATAAACAAAACATAAATATCAATCCATAGCATATAATAGAGACTAATTTTTTTACTTGAATGTTTATTTATCGAATATCATGTAGATCAAAAATCTTTCAACTTTCATGTCACCTAAATACCAATCCCTATAAGATATTGAAAATGCTCGAAGGTGAAGAGAAGAGGTCACCAACGTGAAACTCAGCCTCTGTTTGAGTCACATTCTTCTACTTATTTTCAATCTCACATTTTTTAATAAAATAATATTTTTTATCACATCAATAATATTTTTTTTTTTAACAAAATAATATTCCTCGTCACATCAAACAAAAAAATACATTATTAGACTGAAAATGTGCACCAAATGTGAAGTAAGTCCTCAACGTGAAACTCACACGAAACGCAGATCCCATCTTCGTTTTGATCCCACTCACAGTAGGTATTGAATGGTCATAAGAGTTCCGCATTGCCACCACCCCAACCCTGTGAAAATGACTAAAGTACCCTTCTTCCTCCTCATCCTCTTCATCGCCCTCCTCTACCCAACCTCCGCCGAGATCAAGAACCTCAAGATCACCTCTGACTCACGGCCGATGATCCTCTTTGAGCGATTTGGTTTCACACACACTGGCCAAGCCACCATTTCAGTATCCTCTGTTTCCGTCATTTCCTCACTTTCCTCGCCGGAACCCTCTCGCCTTGGCTTCTTTCTTCTCTCGGAAGAATCCCTAATTCAAGTCCTTGTTGAACTCCAGCAGAACCCTTCTTTTTGCGTTCTTGATTCCAAGTACATCCACTTCCTCTTCAACTTCCAAAACCTCTCCCCGCCGCCCCAGTCTTCCTTCAACCGCACTTACCCCATTACCTCCCCCAACGAATACTCACTTTTCTTTGCTAATTGTGCACCTGAATCCGCCGTTTCCATGGACGTCCACACCGAGCTTTACAATCTTGACGGCCGCGGCCGTGTCAAGGATTTTCTTTCTGCTGGTCTAACTCAATTGCCCACATTGTATACCTTCTTTTCGTTACTTTACTTGGCTTTCATTGCTTTCTGGGTTTACTTCTGTTTGCAGAACAAGAAATCAGTTCACCGAATCCATGCCCTCATGGGAGCTTTGGTGATTATTAAGGCCTTGAATTTGCTTAGTGCCGCAGAGGACAAGCATTATGTGAAAGTTACTGGCACCCCTCATGGTTGGGATGTGTTGTTTTACATATTTCAATTTATTAGGGTGGTGCTGTTGTTTACGGTTATCGTTTTGATTGGTACTGGTTGGTCTTTCTTGAAGCCATTCTTGCAGGAGAAGGAGAAGAAGGTGTTGATGATTGTGATTCCGTTACAGGTGTTGGCAAATGTGGCCTCCATTGTAATTGGGGAGACAGGGCCATTTATCAAAGATTGGGTGACTTGGAATCAGTTGTTTCTGTTGGTGGATATTATATGTTGCTGTGCAATTATTTTCCCAATTGTATGGTCGATTAGGTCGTTAAAGGAGACCTCAAAGACTGATGGAAAGGCTGCAAGGAACTTGGCGAAATTGACCCTTTTTAGGCAGTTTTACATTGTAGTTATTGGATTCTTGTACTTCACCAGGATTGTGGTGTTTGCGCTCAGGACCATTGCTGCCTACAAGTATCAGTGGGTGGCGAATGCAGCCGAGGAGTGTGCAAGTCTCTTGTTTTATGCTGTGATCTTTTACATGTTTAGGCCAGTTGAGAAGAATGAGTACTTTGTGCTTGATGATGAGGAGGAAGAGGCAGCAGAGATGGCTCTTCGAGAAGAAGAGTTTGAGCTTTGAAGTCTGAGATATAAATGGTGCTCTTCCTTGCAATTATACTGGCCTCACATTTTTAAATTGCAAGTTGTGTAATGAAGTTATAGTAGATTTGATAAAAAATAGATTCAAATTTGTGTAACTTTTTGTCATTTTCATTTCCATTAAAACTTCTATTCGATAATGGAAATGTATGTCATTTCACGTCCTCCCTTGTTTCTTTTCGTTTTCCCAGAATTTCTAGTCTCTGAAGATCATTACTATTTCTGCAGGATATGTTGTTAAATGCATTTGTTCATTTAGTTTTTAAACTGCTGATCGTTCAGTTTTGTTAGTAATTCTTTTTTTGATAGGAGTTTTGTTAGTAATTCTTGTTGCCTCAATTAGTTAGATGTGTGCCAATTAATTCTAAGCGATTAAGACTATTGCAAATGTAAGACTATTACTTCATAAGGCTATTGATGACATTTAATAAGGGCATATAAAATGACATTATTGCAAATGTAATGACCTAGTACTTTGGAAACAATATCTCTTTAGTTCATGAGATGATTATTTCTAATCTTAAGTCCCTGCCATATTGAACTCAGTTATGGAAATGGAATCCAATACCAATTAATTTTCACACAAAAAATCCTGAATATGCATCTACTAGTCGAATGTTCATATTCTGTATTTATTTAGAGTAAATAAGATCTGAATATAACTGTGAAGACATCTTGATGACTACTTTTCATGCTTAAAAAGATTCATGGATCCAGATTATGATAGAAAAGTGATGTCAAGGGAACTCGTGTAGATAGTTCAATAACAGTGTTGGGGGGTTGGGGGGGGGGGGGGGGGGGGGGNGGGGGGGGGGGGGGGGGGGGGGGGTTTAGAAATAACTTTTGAGCTAGGTTTCCTTTGTATCCTGTCAACACACTTCATCACACTAGACTATATAAGGTTGAATCACAATTCAACTCAATAAAGCCTCATCCCATACTTCTCTGTGACAATCTATGATCATATGTGATTCCCAGTAAAATTAGCCTCTCCTTTTCTTAATGCCTTTTTACAATTTAGATGATTTTATCTTCCTTCCTTTGCTTGTTTCATCGATTTTCTCTTCCACATTGATTGTATTACGTGCATTTCGCCGATTCCAAATAATATTTCTGTGATATTCCATGAGTTCGTTATCAGTCAATAATTTTTTATGGCGGAGGTGAAATATCTCCAACAAAGTGGGCATTGGATTGTGAAACCTTGGCTAAATTATTCAGTAGGTACTGGAGATTTTGACTAGGAAAGTTTCTATGGCTGATAGATTTCCAGGCACGTTATTGACATCTACTATATTGGTATAAGGTGACTTCTTGATAATTTTAGGTCGTGGAAGCATACTTAGGTGTTAGTCCCTGATGTTGCCTATGATTGCCATATTTTAGTTGTTAATTAGTAGCGCCTTGTTTTCTTCAAGTTTCCTCTGTAAACCTGAGGATCGTATAGATGAAGAATTTGGTCTGATGCATCTTTAAATTTTCTCCTTTTTGGGATAGGTTTATTGTGTTATGTTATCTGCTTATGTTAAGAAATCTACATGCTGATTTTAAGCTATCAAACTTAATTTATGTATGTGGTGCACAAAACTAGTGTTCGTAGATCAAATAAAATGACGTAAGATATGAGTTGATGGTACATTTGTACTGTAGTGCTGTCTCTGGTTAGTGGTTATATATTTTAGTTGGCATGACTAGGGAGTAAGAGAAGCAGGATGAAGTTGCTCCATTCATATTTTATGGCAATTACTTATTTTACATGGATTATTATTTATCCGCCAAGAATTTATTTATTTTCCCCTCTACATTGAACCGTTACTGTTTTTGGTACTCTATGCCCCATAAAAAGAAAGGGAAGAAGTGAATGTTGTTCTGCTATTTTGTGAAGAACTTATAGTGATAGCTCTGCTATGTGTGAGTTGATCCGTGGATTCCACTGCAGTGTCAACTGAAATGAATGAATTGTTGGAAAAACTGGATGTTTCTTAGTTGGTGTTTGGTATGGATTAAAATTAAATTTTTAGTAAATTGTGATAGAAGTTTTTAAAATGTGTGGTTGAAAAATTGTGTAACTCATGAAAAATATGGTTAATATTGATTGTTCGACTTTTACTTGAATTAAAATCTGATTTTAATCCTACCAAACAGGGCCTAAGTGTATCTATCTGACCTGAAAGTTCACTGATTTCCCAATTTAGAGGTCATAATTTCTTCATCTCCATAGATGTATCTACTCAAATGCCAAGAATTCCCTTTCATGCAGGCCTTGAAATAAAGAAACACAGAATAATAAACAAAGTATATGTCCTTTGAATTGGGATCTACACAGATGTGTATTGGCACAACAGCGTCACAAATCAATATGGGTATACAACTGCAGAAATTCATTCGATGCTGGGTATCAAAGTTAAGGAAATAGTAGCTAAATAAGTGAAACCTGTTGTCGTGCCCTCGTCAACTCCACCTACAGTCCAAATATAGAACCCAGCAAACAAAGTGGTGAGAAATCCATAACCCTTACGATCTAATGTAGCATTGTCTCAGATAGATCCCAAGGGGATGACCATAAAGCAGAAGGCACAAGTTTTCACAGTGATAGAAAATCCACAATTGTGCAATGCCCCCAAGAATTCCCAAATTAATCATTCAAAAGAGAGTAAAAGATTCTCCTATTATGCTTTGACGTGTGTGATTATGCAAAAATAATGAACTCCCGGAATTCATAATCTCTAATAATTAGTGAATCTGGCTCAAAACTAGGATTAAAAAGCACAAGTACAACAGATTTTGCATATATAGACCCTTCCAAAAAGAAAACAGTACTTTGGCAGGACTGCATCAGGGAATCCTCAAAATCTATCTCCCGTAATAACTTCAGCAGGTGACCACGATTAAGCGATATCTAAGGATTGAAAGAGTTGAGGAAAGGTGTGCATAGCTGTTATACTCTGCCTGCCCATCACACATTGACACCTGGTTCTCTGATTTGTAACGTTGTTCTTGATAGGCTAGCTTCTAATTCATTTAACTCATCCATGTCGAGATCATCATCATCATCATCATCATCATCCTCTTCCTCTGCATTGTCATCACTATCAGGAATATCTTCATCATCACGTGTAGTTGATGTGGAAGAATTTGGCCTATCCGTGGAATAATCTTTGTTGATCTGAAATATATTTTTATTCTCAGCAAATGCTACTGAAACGATTCAAATATTAACAGCATAAAGGCATATAAAATTATGGGAAAAAAATAAGAAATTAAATGTGTCAACTTCCTTGACTGCCGGTCATAAAAGCGAACCTTGTAAGAATTGCTTAAATGGCCTTTAAGGCAGTAGGTCATGCCAATAAAGAATAGAAAACTGTTCTAAAACGTACCTTTTCAGTTTCTGTCATCACATACTATGTGGGAAGAAGCCGCAGAACAATCAAACATTGGAAGATTTTAATAAAACCCACAAAAGATTACTAACAAACCGTAATTTCCAGAAAAACAAATAAGGCATGCCAAGTGTAGTTTCTCATTCTGACATAGATCCCAAGTACTCAATAAACACTCCTAAGAGTTGATTGGAGGAAGAAGATTGTATCATAAGAAACACGAGGAAATTTAGAAATATTTCAAATGATGTGGGAGAAGTGGGAATTTTAAACCCCTTTTCTGACCCTTTAAAAGTAGAGAAAGCAAATGGTTTCCCTTCTCTCAGAGATTTCTTAAAAGGTATTCCATCCTACACTTCCACCTTGGTTTTCTTGTTAACAAAACTAAGCACCATCCATTTCCTTCTTCTGTCCCAACCCTCAAATAAAGGGAAAAAAAATCCTATCTTCCCTATTTTCTGTTGCAACCCCAACTGTTATCTTCTTTCTTTCATCCTGTTTTAGTAATGAAAATAACCATCATGTATCCTCTATTTATTTCTATTCTTGAAGTTCTCTGCAAAATCTGCAGAATGCAAAAATCCCACAGATACCAACTGTATCCTATTTTGAAGTGATTGAAGTGTATGGATGGAATACAGTGCTTACCACATGTTTTATCAATTTCAGTGTTGACAGAGTCAGTAAGATATAAAACAGGAAAAAATAATAAAGGCAATGAAGGGATATGCAAGGGCTTTACAGGGTGCATGCTAGGCACCAATGGCGATTCCTAAGGCCAAATAGATATCAGCTTTTCCACCTCAACATACAGAACCAAGAGACCAGGCAAACAAATTTGAAAGCAACAACAGAGAATAAGCAGCAAAAGCATTAATACATTGCAATCTAGTTTATCAACAACACGGGCAACAGAATACTTTCCCTTGCTTCATGCCAAAGTTTAAGACAAGGTTCCATGGCTTATCAGTGCTATATGGGCCAATGAAGGGGGCTATTGGTGCCCGAGCTAGCACTAAGGTCAAGCAGAGCCAGCGTCAGACCGAATGCTGGCCAACTTTGTGCATGCATTGCCATGTGCAGATTGTTCGATGTTTCAACCAACGGATTATAATGAGTAACATGCATATCTTAAAGAGAGAAGATATAACATGTGCATTCACTTAAACCTCACAGAGTAAACTAGGTGGTCCATTCAGAGGCGGAGGGAGGGGGCAGTATTATTTTATTTTATTTTTGTCGCACTGGCTTCGCCCGTGTCCATTGCACTAAAGTTTTTAAAATTTATAAACAATTACCATAAAAAGTGTAAGACATCCATGAGGAGCTATGATGCTCAGACTCGGGTACGGGTACGTATTGAAGTGTTGTATATTTTATTTTCTAAAATGTAGGATACGAGAACATAGCTAAAAAGAGTTCAAATTCTAGACACGAGTACGTGAGTACATCTTTCAAACTTCAATTTTTCCCCCAAAAATTCACATGTAAAAAGTTAAATAATAATTAAGTAATAAATTGTTAAAAGATTTCTCTGTCACTTAAAACCAACTAGAAATATATTTTCAAAAATTAATATTAAGTTTTGAGCTTTTTTTAACATATTTTTAATTGTCTTTTAATAATTATTTCATTAAATAAAAAATAAATGGGTCAAACAAAGTCATAAATCATGGGTCTACATGGATAGAAATAAGGGAAGAATACATAAATCATGCATTTAATTTTACTCATTTCAAAAATACCAAAACATGTTTTAAATTTCAAAAATCAGGTTTCTTTAAATTTTTAATTATGAAATAATAGTTATTAAATTAATTTATTATTAATATTTAATTCTACTATAAAATAACTAATCCACCCCCACCTTCACCACCCCTACAACTTCGTGGTTATTCTGGCGACCGTTCCGGTCACCACTCTTCTCAGGCGACCGTTCCGACGACTGATCCGATTCCGGCGAATATGTTAAGGTCACAGATCTATACAATTTGTTCACAATTCAAAAATATTTTAGGTCACAAATTGTTCATCGGTCACAACATAGAAATTTGAAAGAAACGAAGTTTTATTCCACCAATTTTATAAAGGGAAAAAACATAAATAAGGTGTTTACTTTTCCCAATTTCAAAAATACCAAAACATGTTTTAAATTTCAAAAATCAGGTTTCTTTAAATTTTTAATTATGAAATAATAATTATTAAATTAATTTATTATTAATATTTAATTCTACTATAAAATAATTAACTCATCTCCACCTCCACCACCCCTACAACTCCGGGGCTATTCCGACAAACGTTCCGGTCACCACTTTTCTCCACCGTTCTGACGACTTTTCCGACGATTAATCCGATTCCGACGAATATGTTAAGGTCACAATTCAAAAAATTTTAGGTCACAATTCAAAATTTTCATAGGTCACAATTTGTTTATTGGTCATTACTTATAAATCTAAAAGTTACAATTTGTTCATTGGTCACAGATCCCAAAATTTATAAGTCACAACTTATTTAGGTCACAATTTATCAATTTATTGGTCACAATTAATAATTTTTAGGTCACAAATAATAATTTTTTGGTCACAGATAACCAAATACTTGGTCACATACCACCAACAATAACCACTACTCGTCGCCGCCGCCACCTCACGGCAACCAACACCACCGTCGTAACAACCACCACCCCACACAAAACACCACTACCACCACACAAAAACACTACCACCACCGACGCATCCAACCACACAAAAACACCACCGCCGCCGCCGGATCAGTGCACAAAAACCATCAAAACCCATAAAAATACAACAGATCTGTGATAAAAACCATCAAAAACCACAATAACCACTATCGCTCGCGACGGATCTACTGTGATAAAAACCATACAACGGATCTGCTGCGATTTTGCAGCAGCGGCGTCGCTAACAGCAGCGTCGACGTTGCTGCAAACTGTGCAGCGTCGACGCTGTCACTGCTGCAAACTACAACAGCAACGTCGCGAATAAAAAAACCTCCAGCCACGCACAAAACCCGCCGCACCCACGCACAAAAACCTCTAGCCACCGCTACATCTTAACACCGCAACCACCACGCCACAAAAAAAAAAAAAGAAAGAAAGAATCAGCAGAGATAGACGGCTGCAACGTCGGCGGTTTAAAAAAACGGTTGGATCTACGAGAGAAGAACGGTGAGGTAGAGGGGAAAATGGTTGGATCTGCGAAAATCTAGGGAAAGTGACGAGAGAATAGTGAATACAAGATAGGGAGAGGAGAGGAAAGGAAGAAGATCCAATGGCCGAGGTGGCGGCGGTGGCGTAGGAGTAGTGCAGAGAGACGGGCGGCGAAATTGAGTGGAGAGGTTGAGGGATCAATTGATTTAGGGTTCAGGGTACATAGGGTAGGGAGAGTTATATAAATGAATTTATGGTAAATAGATATAAAAATAAAAATAAAAAAATATTTTTAAATTAATTAAAACCTGATTTTTGAAATGTGAAACTTAAATTAGGATTTATGAAAATGGTAATTTAAAAGTAGGGCTGTGTGTAATTTCCTCTAGAAATAAAAGTCTAATAAAAAACCTAGAAGCCTAATAAAAGCCCAGTTATTAACCTAAAAGGTCTTGCATTCACTCTCTCTCTTCGATTCTCTCTTCCTTCACTCTGCTTCGACAGTGACGTCTACTGCAAATCCTCCGCCACTCTGGCTGCACCACCAGAGGCCTTCTATTCTCCGGACACGGCCGGACCTCTCCCTTTTCCTCCAAAGAGAAGGAACATAACAGAAGAAAAGGAAAAGAAGAAGAAGGGAAAAACCTAGCAGCCGCCTTTCTCCATCTTGTTGTATCCAATTGAAAAGTGCCGTGTCCGCCCCATATTTCATACCAGTATCCCTGTCGTGTCGTGTTGACACGAGTACTTTGACCAGAATGGAGAGTCCGAGCATCACAGATGAAGAGGGTACCCTATATCTAAATGGATCACATTTAAGAGTATTTGATCTTTGGAATACTAACTAATGATAACTCCATCGACCGTGATAAAACATAATACTGTGCGCTGAGATCTATCACGTTTCCCTCTCCTGCCACCTAATAATTTGACATTTTTAAATGGACCAACACAACCTAAGGTTGCAGGAAGCCAGGAACATTACATAGCTAACAAATGGGACAAAAAAATTCTTGATCTGTTGACAAAAAATTGTCTTGGATTATGTTATTAGTTAACCTCAATGAAGAGCAGCACCTAAAGTGGCTCAGCTGTACATATTCCTTGAGGTTGACATCAATGGAACTTCTAATGTTGATTTTAATCAATTTATACATCTGTCACCAACTGTCAAGCATCCAGGATGAGAACCTATGGCTCCTCAGCTCCTTCATAATAGTGGGTAGGGGAATCTCAAGGTTTTCTAAGCTGGCCCTTTTGAAGTGTGATCATACTTAAATTAAGCTCCCTTAAATCTCATCTTATATTATCTCCTTCCTCAGAACCACCCCCTCCCAAATAAATAAATAAATAAAATCATGTGGAAACAAAAAAAAAAAGATTAAAATTTTAACTTTAGCTCCTAATTGCAGCATTTGACAAAACATAACAGGGCAAACAGAAAAAATTGTAACCTTTTGCTGAGCATCTGATTCTTCTTCTCTTTGGTATTTGTCATAGGCCTCAGCATCATCGACAAACAAGCTGGCGTCTGACAAGAACAGTTCACGGCCACTGGGATAGGAATCAAACGTGAGGTGATTGCTTAATACAAATTAAGGCACATGAGCAAAATTAGCAGAACATGGACACAGGTACACGTTCCAGAAGAGACATGTAACTGTGTAAGCAGAGAATGGATACCTCATACGGTCATTCTTAGCTCTCTCTGCCCTCAATGCAGCCAAGCCAGCTTCTCTCTCTTCCACCTTCTTCTTCTTCCATTGCATGAATAACTCCGGAGTCATAGGCGTTGTAGTAGCAACCTTTGCACGCTGGAAACAGAAAATTAACTCTGTCAGCACGATAAATTTACAGTTTTGGGGAAGCAGAAGAGAATGACAGCTGTAGAAGTAATTCATGACATTGAAAGCCATCACTATTTTCCTAAAAAAACCTGATTTTCTATCTCTTGGAGATACCAATAGAAAAGTCAAAGGAGGAGATAGTCTCGGAAGTAGACTCTAAAATATTATATAGGTCCTCCTTCACGTACGGACATCACCGTCAGAAATAGTGGCAAACCCGTATGGGTTTTGGTTGGTATGACGAAGAAGAGATGACGAAGGTAAAAATATTTACATACCTGCCAATAGAACCGAAATATTAGAGAACTTTAGCAGAATTGGTGTTTTGACTATGAAACCATGATATACAGATAACTTATGATAAGGAAGGAGCAATAAGTATGACTAAGCCCATGTTTGTGAGAGCTTATAATTGATTATAAGCTGGTCAAACTCTATTTTCATCCATACATTTCATAGGAACCACAACCTTAACCTATTTTTAACCACACATTCATTGGGACTTGATACTTATAATCAATTATAGCTTTGACAAACATGGGCTTACGGAAATTTGAGGGGGGGGGAGAATGAGGGAAGGCAACATGATGAACAGTTGATGGCTTGATGTCACCAAGAACTAAAAGAAAATTAGGTTGGAATTCATGCTTTCCCACTACATTCACAATTTATACAAGATCAACCAGATTCCGGACTTGTTTGCAACAATTTACATTATTAGGCATGATTTACATTCCCAGAACTCAAACTATATTGCGTCACGTGAATGAAAAAGAAATCTTGCCTTCATAGATGAGAAACGCTAGACCCTGAAAAACTCTTCCTGCTTAAACATGGTCAGCCACTTCTCTCTTTTTCCAGTTGAGAAAAGTTTATGTTAGGTAAAGCTTTTTCAAGCTTACAAGCTGATTAAACATCCTCTTTTATCCACACATTTGATAGGACCTACAACTTGTTATCCACACATTAAGTATGACCTACATCTTATAATTTACAAAAAGCTTTACCAAACACTCACTTAATGACAACAACTTTTTGTCTTACTAACCATTAAAATTAATTTTAATTGGTATCTTAGAGATTTTAAAACATCTGTTACGTGTAATGTAATACTTACTGTTGTTACATATGATGAAACTTCTTAGCTTCTTGCCATCTGAACTATAGAATAGAAATAAAGCTGTTTTTATGCTTCATACATGCTAGTTTGCATATTATGCCGAAATTTTGCCTATTGAATGAGGAGAAAAAATTGATAGATTTTCTTTTGCATTTACCACATTCAGCATGCATGTATACTCAACCTAAATTTTATACCAGTAAAAAGAAAATCCAGATTTACAATATGACATGAATGTATCATTTTATATTATTTTTATTCCGTGTAATGATGAAATTTGCTTCATTTTTAATCTTGAAAAACATAATAGAAAGAATGAAAAAAAAATCAGCAAATTTCAGCCTGCAGCATTTGGTGGTTTGAGAAATGCACTTTCCACAAATATCTGAATCTATTTATCCATCGCATGCTACTTTAGGTGATGTATAGGTCCATCTTTAAAAACGGATGTATATGCTACAAAGACTCCGGCTATTTCAGATTATTTCTGGCTGCTCATGCTATATCTTTTACCATGTCTATGCAAAATATCTGTCAACCATGTTAACAACTCTATATTGGAGTTTGGCACATCCCAAGAGATTAATTACCATAGAGACACTTGAAAATTGAAAAATAATAATAATAATTAACAGAGAATGGTAAAATAGCAACAAAATAGAACACTAGCACTCATGCCAAAGACCCTAAATGTGAAATTTAAATAGTGAATTGGATAATGAAAACTTACTATATCAGTAGGCTTATTCTTGTTGTATTCATTGCTCTTGGACGCAACAACCTTCTCCAGTGTCTCCTGATCCCAGTCCTCCATTGTTCCTTGTCCTTTTGAAGCAAAGCAACAAACACCCAAAATAGAGTCAAAATTAGAGCGGAAAATCATAACTAACAGATAAGAAACAAGGGATAACTAAAGTAGGACTTCTGCATACTGACCTTCATCGCGCTTATCACTATAGGCATCAATCTTCTCTCCTTTCCTCTGGACACTCAAATCATGTGAGAACTTGCACTTAAAACCCTTAGCACACTGTCCCACCTTGTAAAACTCACACACTATCGACTTTGGATCAACTCCTGAATACATCAAACCATTATATCTTAATAAATTTAGTTATGTAACATCAAAATAACAGTATGAACAAGCACAAGATATCCACAACATTACCAATTCTATTTCTATTAAAAATGAGTTTCCAACTTACCCACAAAAAATTTAACAAATACCAAATGCACCAGAAAAACTAGAATAAGCAAAAAGAGCTATAGACGAGCATTCAATACTCACTAATGTTTGGACACATGAAGCGCCATGTCAACTTCATAAAAACATATTTGAGCTTATACTATACATCAACAAAATATATTTCTAAAATACTTATTAAAAGTAAGTCAGAGAAATCACCAACGGGGACTTTGGGCTGACTGACAGCAACTTTAAATAATTCATTTAGCTCCTTTTCTTTTGCCTTCTCTTCCTCTTTCTTCTTCTGTTATTTTCCAGAAAATGCTATAACCCAATTAATAATCACTCAATACTCAATGACTAACCATATAAAATGCATGTAAATAATGCATGTCTGTGAGTGCTATGAATTTGGGTTGGGGTAAAACCTTGGCATTGATTTTGTTAGGGTCAGGTTTGGGCTGGACTGATTGTTGGAGGGAGTGGACGTATTTCTGGACATTCTTGGACTTGTTCTTGTTCTTCAGTCCGAATGTCTTGTCCTCTACTACCTTCTGCTTCTTTGCCAAATCCACTTTAGATTGCTGTTTTGGAGGCATTTTCACTCTCTTCTTTTCTTGAGAAATAAATCTCTAACCAGACAATCGATTGAAGAACAAATGTTGGATAAAGATTTTGAATTTAATCGATATAATAATCTGCGGCGGAGGCGATCTGTGTCGGTGAGTGGCGTGGCGGGTTAGGTTTGGCTTGGCTTGGCTGTGGCAATACGTAATGCTTCGGCTTCGAGAAACTACAATATTTTGTGAAATTACCAAATGAGCCGTTACTCGTCTCGTACCCTCGCACTCGGCAGGAAAAGTAAAATAAATCAAGGTATAATTGCAGCAAAAATTCCAAACCTTTCAAACATTAATAGACTTTCCCCAAATCTTTGATTTATTGCAGTCGTCACCCTTAATCTTTTCAAATGTTGCAAGTGAAACTATTTTGGACATTTTTCATCCATAATTCTGTCAGTTGATCAAAAATTTAACTTTGATCATATTTTTAATATTTTAAAAAGGGGTAAAAGAGTAACTTCTCCTTTTTCACTTTAAATAATTAAATAAAAAAATAAGGAAAAAAAAAACGCACGTACACAATCATCTTCTTCTTCTCAACCCTCACCCACCCTACCTCAAACCCAAATCGACACCGACCACTTGCTACCAGGCGTTCTTTTTTTTTTATAGTAAATGTCTCAGACATAAATTATCTCATGCTCAGAACTGGGCATTATACAAAACTGGAAAAAACTAGGAAAGGTAGGAAATTGATGACTTTGAAGCAACATTGTTTCTGGATTCTCAATATATCCCATAAATGCCTTCAGCCATTCTGTACCAATTGATATGAATATAAAATCAGAGAAAAAATTGAAACACCCAATTTTATTGAAGTAAAAGATAAAATCCAAAACAAAGGGGAGAAAGAGTCCAAAGTTTGGAAGCAAAGCACCAATGCAAGGACTTTTTGTTGTAGTCGTGTAAGTGAGTGAACCTGTTGAGGGATTTTCCAATACTCAAATCTCCAAAAATTCAAGCAAGTTAGCAAGCCTAGGTTTTTTGGGAAGCGAGACTTGAAATTAGTCCTACGAGTAGTCCAATCATCATATATATCCTCATCTGCTTCTAGAGGTGGAGGTAGAGGTAGCGGTGGTCGATGTGAATTTTGGGTTTGAGATGAGGGTGAGCGAGGGTTGAGAGGAAGAAGACGATTGTGTGTGTGTGTTTTTTTTCTTATTTTTTTGTTTAATTATTTAATGTAATAAATGGAAAGTTATTATTTTGCCTCTTTTTAAAATATTAAAAATGTGGTTAAAGTTAAATTTTTGGTCTACCGACGGAATTATGGATGTAATATGTTCAAAAGGTCACTTGCAACATTTAAAAATGTTATGAGTGGAGGCTGCAACAAATCAAAGTTTTGGGAAAAGTCTACTAATATTTCAAAGGTTTGAGTTTTTGCTGCAATTATCCTATAAATCATTTAATAATTTAGCGTCAGCTAAATTACAACAATGTTCCCCAACCTTTGATCCTTGTAGTAATCTTGACATCAAACTTTATTTTTATTACATTTTAATTCTCGACCTTTTAATAATTAGTAAGGCTCAAGGCCTATAGATAATTTTACCAAACTCTCGACTCTTCCCCAAACAAATGCTACAATCGTAGCGGAGACCGTAGACTTTTTTTCACATAGCATACCTTATTGGGGACTTATTTTTTACGAGACAAGTTCAATGGTGCAATCTACCTCTTAATGTAACTACCAGAAGTTGATCGAATATATTTTTATGACGAGTTTTAAATCGAAAATGGACTTTCATGATTCTCCTGTGTTTCTCCATCTTTTTGAGTGATTCAAATGTCTAACGCACTTAAAATTTCATACAGAACATGAATATGAACTCAAAAAGTTATATCAAAAGTTTTGCTTTTCGATTCCAAGTTCGATCCGTTCGCGGTTTTCGTTGCTCCATCCTTAACAGGCAGTTTGATCTAATTTTCAATGAAACATGTGTCATGCCATTGTAGAGGCTATTAGGATCATCAATTTGCAAAATTAAAAGCCTAATTGAAAAGATTAAGTTGGTAGGTTTGGATCTCTTAAAAGCTTGTCAAACTTGATCAAAACTTTGAATCTTTTCGTTAGGCTTCAATACTGCAAATTGGCTATCCTAGTAACTTCTGAAAGTCATATAGAACATCAACATGCTTCAATGAAAATTTGATCAAAAGAGGCAGTGTAAGGGAGGGTGGAGCGACAAAAGTCGAAAACCGACCAAACTTGGAACTGATAAGGACCCTTGTTAAAATCTGGGATATTATGTGGAAACTCAAATTCTATATGAAAAATCAAGTGCATTAGGGTTTTAAATCACTCGAAAAGGTTGAGAAATAAGGTAGAACCGCAGTAAACTGGTAATCGAGTTTTGATTGAAAGACTCTTAAAAATAAAAAAAATAAATTATGCTCACTTCCTATTGTCAAATGAACAAAAAAGTTGTATTGTTAGCTTTGTCTCGTCGTATCGAATCCACTAAGGCATGTGGAACTTCCTTTTATTATACACAAAGACCTGAATAAATGAAATTTCGAAGAAACTATGAGCTCGTTTGGGATTGTTTGCTAACTGTTATAAAAATGAGTAATAGTTATGAATGTATTGTTAAAATTAATTTTTTGATTTGATCTTAAAATTATAATTCCATTGTAATTTAAACCAAACGAGCACTTACTCGTACGAGAGAGTGATTTGAGAACTACTAAATTTGTATTTGCTCACACAAGACATGAAAGATAAGAAAGAGTATACAATTAACAATTCAACAAATGGAATCCTATTAGAGTATATTATATATAAATTAAAACATATTTGAACGCGTTTAAAGTTATTTTCTCGAAGAGTGAGTTGGTATTAACTATTTAAAAAAAGTATGCTTCTTGTTTGGTTTAGTTAAAAATCAAATTTTTATTGATTTTGATTTTAAAAAAATGATGAAATATATAATTAAAAAATTGATAAAAATGTGAATTTCTTGAAATTGCCATGATAGCAAGAGATGAACAGTATAGAAAAGTAAAAGTACTTAAAAAAAAAAAAAAAGAAAAGAAAAGCACCAAAAGTCACAAAACAAGACTACCATATGGATCAGTGTAATAGTATAATAACATTAGCATACTGTTGAAGTTCCTTTCTCTGTGGAAAAAGGTAACGCATGAAATGGCGTCGCCCGGACTTGAACCGGAGACCTTCAGTGTGTTAGACTGACGTGATAACCAACTACACCACGACACCTTGATGCAATGACTTTCGTTTTAATGTATAATAATAGAAATCCAAGGATTTTGGACCTGAGCACAGACAACTCACTGTGGGCTGGACCCCTTTTAGATGGGCACATGGATTTGGTCCTCTGAGACCAGGGCAGGGTGGGTGGGGAAAAAAAAGGGGGGGAAATTCATGGATCATGTATTATCCATCATAAAATCAAAAATCAAACCCCAAGTTTTAGAATTGCAAAAATCAGGTTTTTTCATGAATTAATTAATTATAATTTACAATTATTATATTAAATTTAATTTTTCTTATTAAGTAGTTAAAAATTCACGATCACAATTTATCAAATTAATTGATCACAAATTATTTTTAGGTCACAAATATAAAAAATTATAGGTCACAAATTTTTAATTGGTCACAAATTAAGAAAATTTGTTGGTCACATATTATATTTTGAGTCACAAAATAATAAANCCAAATACCCCATCCCCCAATCCCACACCACCAACTACTTGGTTACAAATCACAACCAAAAAATCGCTACACCACCACCGCGACAACCACGCAGCCTCCAACACATCGACAACCATCTCTATTTCTATCTATACCACGCCACAACTCAAAGACCCCCAGTCTGTTGTTCGTTCTCTACCGGACGAAGGCCTCCACCACACCCCACAAACCGCCGCATCGAAGACCCACGGCACCTTCATCACACACCCACTACTATGCCACCGCACTATTAAAAAAAAAAAACCAAAATCACCACCGTAAAATCACAACCATAATGGGGGGAGGGGGGGAAAATGAGGAAGATGGAGGGAGGAGAAGGGGAAGGGGAAGGGGAAGGGGAAAGGGAGGGGGAGACTGCTACGTTCAGCAGCGTCGCTGTCGCAGTGACGCTGCTATGATTCGCAGCAGGGGGAGGGAGGAGGAGGCGACGGGCAGCGATGGTGGAGAGATCTGGCGGTGGAGGCGACAAAAATGGTGAGAGGTGAGGAATGAATTGGATAGATTAGGATTTGGATAGATTTAGGTTTTATGTTTATAATAAATTTGGCGGGGGTAGGGTGTGTATATAGGTTATTTTCATTTTATAATATCATTATTAATTAAAAAAAGATAAAACCTGATTTTTGATTAAATAAAGTTAAAACCTGATTTTCATAAATTTGAAACTAAACAGCTGGTTTTTGGTAATTATCCCAAAAAAAAGGCGATTTTGGTTTGTAATAAAATATTACTCATATACATTTCTTCCATCTATTTATTTCTACTACAAATAAAAGGATATAATCATTTCGTAATATAAAAAAAAAACTGACTTTTTAATTGTCATTAGGACAAAAATTGATTGTAATTCCCATTTTCGAAAGAAAAAGGTGCAAAAGGGGACGTAAATATCAAGACGGTAAGTCTATAGGATGGGGATCATTTGCACCATTGGCCGTATTTTAAGCATTACCACTTCTATTTACGCTATCACGTGAAAGAAAGTGGTTGATGGAGGTCTATGTTATTCAAAATTCTAAATGAGGTTTTTATTATTTTCGAAAATAGAGAGGTATTTTAATCATTATCATAAACTTGAGGAAGGTATGTTTATTCTGAAATAATTAGGGATGGATGTAGGAGGGGGTTGAGCATGACTATAGAGACATTTTAAGGTGATACATTTAAACATCTTTTATTTCATTGAGCGTCGTACATTCTTTGTCGTGAATGTAAAGAGTTCATTAGAATTTTTAAATTTCAGTTCATTTTATGATCATTTTCTGGTTCTGTCCCAGTAATCTGAAATAAGGGGGTTCATGTATTATTTTAAGTGGGAAGGTGTTTTTGAAATTGTTATAAACTTAAGGGTGGTATACATTATTTTAAATTTGAAATAATAATTTTTGAAAATTGGGAATATATATTTGAAATTATCATAAGACATAAGGAGAGGTGTAGGTAATTTATCCGATGTATAAACCCATATTTGGCTCTATTAAATTTTAATTTATTTTTTCTTTCCTCTTATCAACCATACGTTCTCTTAGTAAAATAATATTACACATAAATTTAAAAAAAATATTACCTTTTAACCCCACATTCCTCAAAAAATACTATTTCAAATTTTTTTTTTTTTTTTTCAAATAATGGAGGTCAAACAAGGTGTCACGCACGGAGAATACTTATCCCCCCATTCGGCACGCAAGGACACTAACAGCCTATTTTACCAATAGTGCACTAATGATATATGATCATATGCAGGTATTTTCCCTAACATCCTACTCATAGCATGCACGTATGACAGTTATTCGGGCTTGCCGACCACAGAACGAGGGGAAGGCGGCTTTGAGGCGTTGTACCTCGAGAGCCAAATCCGCTGTCTGTGAAACAAGGGCTAAATTGCCTCATAGAAATGCATGATTTTACCGCATAGCCAAACACTGCCCAATGCCAGCATCAATGTGGAATGTCCGAAAAAGATTCACCAAAGGCAAATATTTATTTCTACATCGTTCACGTTAAGCTACGCTTTCACTCTTTCCGCCACCCAAAGCGGCCGCGAAAAACTTCTCTCCTCCGGTACCGATGGCGGCCCTGACCCGCCTCTTCAGATCCTCCTCGCACGTTTCTCTCATCCGGAGGTCTCTATTTACTGCTTCCGCTTCCACACCATTGGAATCTGCACCGATTAGGTCCCAAGCGTACTCTTCTTCACACGATACCAAGGACAGGAATATCCAGTGGGTTTTTTTGGGATGCCCTGGCGTTGGAAAAGGTACCTATGCCAGCCGCCTCTCTACCCTCCTTGGCGTCCCCCACATCGCCACCGGCGATCTCGTCCGCGAAGAACTGTCTTCCTCCACCCCTCTCTCAAAACATGTAAGCTGTCTCTGCGTTTACATCGTAAGCCAAGGTGAATATGAAATTTCTGGACATTGCTGACTAGACGAAAGTTGGGGATTTTTTTTCCTTCTTTAAGTTTTTGACCCGGAGCTTAAATTTCACGAAAGTGAGACATTTTAAAATAAGAGTTAATCCAAGGATTTCAGATTTGATGGAAGTGCGTAATTAACTATTTAAATTCCTAGACGGTCTAAGGGGAATCCCTTGGTTACTTTTTGCTGGAATTCTGGTTTGGAAGTTTTGTGTTCAATTTCTAAATGATGAAAGGTGCAGAAAAATAGGATATTAATGTTGATTCGAATTCTTGAGAGATTGAGTTTCGTTTACTGTTTCATCATCATTCTTTTTTTATTTTGTTTTATTCATGTTTCTTGCAGCTCAAAGAGATTGTGAACCAAGGGAAGTTGGTCTCAGATGAGATAATAATAAGCTTATTGTCAAAGAGGCTTGAGGCTGGAGAAGCCAATGGTGAATCAGGATTTATACTTGATGGTTTTCCTCGAACAGTTACACAAGCAGTAAGTAATATTTTCTGTAAAAACTATTCATCTGATGCTATTTTTTCATATGGTCAAATTAACAGAAAAGAGATGTCTTGAAGCACGTGACATGCTAAATATTAAGCTCCGAATAAAAAGTTTCGGAAAATATCAATCTTACAATAAACTTTCAAATTTGTGTTTCTTGGGATGGTTTGGGCTCCAGTCTTTGTATTAAAGAAATTACATAGCATATTGTATAAATGAAACTAGTGTACGTACGTGCGATGCACGTGCTACAGTTTAGTTGGGTATTTAATAGCATGGAGTGATTTTAATTCTTAAAATTCACCGGCACAAAACGTTGTTTTCTATTAATAAAAGCATCTCAAAGACGGAATAAAAATTTAAAAACTAACCTTAAGTTTGTCCTTGCTGGAAATGAAACCATCTTCAGGCACTCAAACATTTTCAGGTGTGTCAACTCAAGATTCAAAGGGCAAAAAGGGAAAGAGAGAGAGAGAGAGAGATTGAATCCAAATATTCACCGGTAGCGAGTTTTTAAATTTGAGATTAATCGATTTCAAAAACAACAAAACTTATATAATTTTAATATCAGGATTACATTCCATTTTCAAGTCTTCAGTTTGATTCTAGTGTTGAAGTACAAAATAAAAATGTCATCAAGTTTTCCCTTTCAGTCAAAAGAACATCGATGCAAATTCACCTTTTAGAAAATTGCATTAATGAAATCAAAAACAGAATGAACTCTTAAAACTCAAATCAATATACAATATACCCCTTTTTTGTAACTGACATGGGGATCTTGCCACCAGACTCCATCCATTATTTGGATGGACAGGTTCACTGAAGGTTCCTGATGCACATTAAAACAACAATAATATCAATAATAACAACAAACAATAACGCAACAATAATGACCTCAAATCCACAATAACATCGTCGAAGACAAAACAATCAAAGGTGAAAATGTTCCAACGATAAATGTTATTCCAAGCACTTTGAGCAAGAAGCATTACCTTCACATATGTTAAAAGTGCATCCCCTTTTTTCCTTCCAATTTATTTGTGAACGTGAATTTTCACTCTTGGTTTTTTTGTTTCGGTTCCTAGATGTTTAGAAAAAAAGAAAAAAAAATCATCAATTCCTCGGAAAAATACAACAATATTCTCCTTTTGAAGAGTAGAACACGGAACCCATAAAATACTATGATAGTAATTGCATATTCATATGGACAATCTAACCACCATAGGAGAAATAGTTATCCAAAAGAATTTGGTAGGCACATATAACTTCACGGAGATGAATGTTCATCCAAGTGTCCCAATTTACCAAATGCCCATTGTATGTCTCCCCATTTTTCAGTTCCACCGGCTATCACAAATGACAGGAACCAGCATAAGCATCACCAACCAAAACTGAATCCACAGCTTTTTATTTTTCATAATTATTATTCAAGAAAATCCGGAAAAAGAAATCAATTTCCTAATCTCCTAAATTTGAAGTATTATGTAAAAGGAAAAAAAACAAGTTAAATAAAATTCGTACAAGTGGGTGGCCTTGGGCTGTCTTTAGCAACGAAAGTGGAAACTGCAATGCAAAACCCAAAAATCAACCAAGCGAATACTATAAAAAAATATGCAACAGACTCAAATTTCACAGCAAAAAAAACCTCAGAACACCGAGTATTCAGGAAGTACCACCTTACCATTGTTTAATTCTAGTACACAGAAGAAACCTGCATTCAGGTTACAAGTAAGAGTTTGTACCTTGTGACTTCACCAGCTTCGTTGGTGAGCATTTATGTGCCACTTCTTCCAACAACAATGTGCAATTACCAGTCACGATAGAAGAATTTAAGCCATGAAATATATACACGCCCATATTTTCTGGCACCCCAATTTGCAATTATCACCATATTATCATATCCACAATACAGAGTCTAGCCAACAAAGCCATTAGTAACTCAACACGGTGGCATCCACAGAAGGCTCTCACTGACACCATCTTAATTTTTATTCCTGAAACTTATAGCAATTAAAACAAACAAATTTATCTATGTCTAGAAGTATGAGGAAAAGACAATTAATATATGGAGCATTTATCTTCAGCAATCAACATGTTCAGAAAATGAAAATAATAGCAGAGCACCCAAATCCTTTTCTGAGTGACAATATCACTTCCAAGTATATGCTCACAGAATTATATGTAAAATATCATACAAATGCATTAAGAAAATGAGTTGACAGACAAATCAAGCTCCAAAAAGTAACTGAAATATAGACAACTCCAAGATGATGAATAGAAGGACAACATAAGTACCAGCAAAGTTAAAAAATTCAGGTCTGAGTAGGAGCAAAAATTATATGAAAAAAATCAGAAACAGAGACACATGAATGTGTTTCAGTTGAATAATGTTAATTATACATTCTCAGTCATGCAACACTCTATAACAAATAATCCAACTCATAAAAGTCAAATCAATCTGCATGCAGATCATCATACAATAAAACATGTCTATTTTTGGATGTGCAGTAATTTACCCTAGGTCAAACCATCATTTTCAATTGATATGAACAATTCATATACCACAGAAAACTTGCATTGTCCCATGACACATATTTAGCAATCTAGCAAGTCATTTTGCAGGTGAATTACTCCGTGTAAAGTTGCATTGTCCCACACCATAGGCATTGCATTAAAAGAAAAAAATCTAGTGAGTGATGCCACTACATTGCAAAAGCAGCTGCGGAGCACCATGGAGTATGTTCAGTGCTAAATAAATAACATCATGCCCCTGTTTGGTTTGGCTAAAAATCAGATTTTAATTGATTTTGATAAAAGTTAATAAAATGTGAGACTGAAAAATTGATAAAGGTTGCGGTCCCATAAAATGTGTGGTTCAAAATGAGTTTGGAAAAAAATGAGTTATAAAAAATTGGGGCTAAACAGGAGGCATATCTAATCTGATCACATAAGCGTTCACAACATATAAACAAGAACTTTTTGCTCCGGAAGACAGTTTCTGTACTTGTCATTTGCTCTTCTTCTTATATTTACAGTTTTCTCTTTCCATCATGCAAGAGGAAGCGGGGATAGGGGTTAATCAAGTCCCGATTGTACAAAATCACCTGCTTTCTATGGGGGAAATGCAGGTACCTCATCTTTGACATTTAAGCCCAAAAAAAAAAATGCAATGATAACTTCAATGCACTTGTAGTGAAGTCCAAAGCACTAACACAAACTGGTCCCTTAGGTACCGGGAATTCAATGTGATGCCATTAATGAGGTTTGAGTGTTTTGCACCCATAATGCATTTAAATATCTATGAACTTAGCAGATATGGAATGAAAGTGAGAGGAGAATTCAACTTACCGGATGTAGAATAATGTCCAAGGCAATTGGAAAATTGTGACAGGCATTGTGCAAGCAACTACTCACATAATAGTTCAACCATTAATTGCCAATTAGTAGATAAGCACAAATATCATAAGCAAAGCACTCACCAACTCTGGAACATAATCTGTTCCTTCTTTGACCTTTAGACTCATGATTTTGAATTTAACCTTGCTCTTCTCATCCATAGACTTTTCATTGTTCTCTGGATTCTCCATGAACTTGAACACTGTCCTACAAATGCATATTCATAATAAGATGGCTTCAAACAAATTAAAATTATGCATAAAGAAGTATTTTAACCTCGGTGCGTGTATACACCCATTAAAATTAACTTTTTAAAACGGTCTACCATTAAAAGAGGCTAATTACCAGTAGCAACGAGACTTTCTCCAGGAGCAAGAATACCTCCAGGGGACGCATCTAACAACTCTTTGGGCGCGGTAGTTTGAAACTATAAACCAAAAACAGAAAAATAAAAACAGGTGGGATCAGCAACTTCACCACACAGCTTGTCCACTTACATTGCGAGATTGCCAATATATACTTGTCTAATGATCAAACAGGGTTAAAGCACGCATCAATTGATCAGTTCTATAGGACAACATCATTTTTTATTTTAGTATATTATAATGGAAAATGCTAATATTGTATAAAACAATAATTTGTTGTACAATAATATAAATACATTGCAGTACTGAAGAAAACATTGTGCTGCTGTATATCAAATAATTAATTAACAAAAAAAAGAGTATTGAACATGCAATGGCATGGAGAAGATTCCTAAAAGAAAGAAATAAAGGGGGATGCATCAACCGATTACTTTAAATGCAATGTGAGACTTACTGGAATTCTTAATCCTGATAGCACTCATCGCCTGCTTTCCCGGTTCATCTGGAAATATATACACGCACATAAAAGCACAAACAATCAGTCAATCAGCACTTGGGGGGAGGGGGTTAATTTTTTTAAAAAAACCAGTCAATCAGCACTTGAAATATATAAAAACTTCAAATACTACAGATACGGTAAATCGGTTTTCAAAGAACTCTGGACCAAGTAGAGGATAAGAACTGTTTCCAATCCTAACGAACAAAATGAGTAATGAAAATTAAAGAATAATCACTGGGATTTAAAAATAACAAGAGCCAGTTGTAACGCACGGAGGAAATATAGATTGCTTGAAGGATCGAGGCGAAGTCTTCGTCTAGCTGGAAGAATCGATCTGGCAACGGAAGAGACGGTGGTGGAGGAGGACCGAATTTTGAAGTAAACAACAGAATCTGACGGTGCCCACTACGTGAGAAGAGGCAAAATGAAAATCATTACCGTTTCTAACTCTCTAACTGTGCAAAAAATTACTCAAGACGAGGGCTTGTTGTAGAAGGGGGAGACTTGAGAAATGAGATGGGTGAAGAATCGAGGAGTATGGGAAAGGGTGCTTCGATTGAGTGCAGAAATGGGGAAAGTCAGAAAGTGGGCAGTGTGAACAGTAATATCAACAGTTGCTCTTTCATTTGTTAGGGATTTTGAGTGAAACGACGTCGTTTTAATGGGACGAAATTGTGAACAGTACTTTCAAAGTGGCTCTTTTATTGTATAGGGAATTGTGTTAGTGGATTATAAAATTATCACATGAGGGTTGTTAAGAAGTAAAAAGTTCCAGTCCCTTTGGGTTGCTGATGGTACCTGGCTGAGTGTTGCATCAAATTTTTTGATCATGCTAGTTAAATAGTGATGTCAGGTGATGTATTATCAACTTTTAACTTGTTTATACCTTATGACTTGGGTTTGTAGTGATTAAGGTTGATGTCTTAACGCCATCCAGTACAAATATTTGTCGTAATGCACTATATTTTATTCGTAATCACGTGGATTACTTACTGATGTATGTAGTTCTAAATATATCTAAATCGTAATTCAAGGTAATATTGATTGCTATGTACTTTTTCTGTTAATAATTTCAAGAGTTAATGGACCTAGAATACAGTTTTGTTTTCAAATATGTCATTTATAATTATAATCAAATAGTACTTAATAGTGATTACCATGTCAAAAAGTATGTAAGGTTGAGTGAACAGGAATGGACACCTTGGATTCAACTTAGCATATGTTTGCGAAGTGTTTATAAACAGTTCTATTTATAAATGAGATAATAATGAGTGGTAGATAAGTGAGTAATACTTGTGGGTCCCATGAAATATATGGATAAAATGGTTTGACTTTTAGCAAGATTTAAAATTTTTTCACAAAACACTTGCCAAACATATTATTTACTCATACAACTTCTTTTCTTGTGAGAATTCTAATGTGACAATTGACGGAGGTTCTGTTTTAGAAAGAACTTGGGGGAGAGAGAGACTTTATTTTTTCATTAGCTAGAGTGTTCATCATTTGAATTCAACAAGCTCCATTTCTAAACTGATATGGAAAGGACATGATAATTCTTTTTCCAGTTAAAGAGTTACTGGACTAACAGTATCTTACAGAACAAATAACTGAGTTCTCCATGCACATCACCTGTACCATGTTGTTTAGAATCGTGAAGGAGTACCAAACACAGTTTTTTTTTTTTGTTGTTGGTATGGTTAGTTAATTTATCATTACTTTTTCATTTTATTTTGCAAAAATAATAATAAAAAAATCATGTTATTACCCAGTTTAACGTGGATGGATGTACTGGATTTCTTGACTTAACTAGAGAAGTCAAGCCTAAAAAACAAGTGGAACAACTTTTAACTTGTGGAGTTCCAAGCATGATTTTACCTGCAGAACCTTTTATAATGTTTCCAATCAAAGCACTGCCACAGTTGCAATCGCTGCTTCCTATTCAGTGCTTTGATTTACTTAGTCTGTGTACATTCCCTGGAATTAACAGGGAAGGGATTTCTTTTCGCGAAATCTTCTTCTTGTTCTGGAATGAGAATGTCCGCTAACAAATGGAGAGATTTTGGATCAATTAAAGGAAGGACGACTCAAGTGGTTTGGATTTGTTTTGCATAGACCTAAAATGGCTCTCAATGATAAGAGTGATGCAATTTCAGTAGACAGCAGAATGGATTATAATAGGGAGGGGTAGATCAAAGATTCAAATACATGGTCTATTGTTATTGTCAAGGATATAGTTTATTTTTATCTACCAGTATATTTAGCAATGAATCGAAAGGAGTGGTAAAAAAGAATTTACACAGTGGACACCAAATATATTGGATACAATGCTCAGTTTTATTGTTTTTCTAAAGGTCCACTTGCCTTTTGTGCTTCATAGTTTGCTATTCTGTTTTTATACGTTCTTTTATTTTCTTCAGTTTTAATAATGAGGAAATTACTTATTCTCCAGCATTTCTCGATAATTTTTCCTCTTCTACCTTTCCTGTGTGTGCAGGAAATATTGGATGACGTGACAGACATTGACCTCGTGGTAAATCTTAAGCTCCCAGAAAATGTACTGCTTGAAAAGTGCCTTGGACGAAGGATATGTGACCAATGTGGGAAGAATTTTAATGTGGCATCTATAAATGTGAAGGGTGAAAATGGGAATCCTGATATAAAGATGGCTCCACTTCTTCCTCCTTCCCATTGTGCTTCGAAGCTTATAACTCGTTCTGATGATACTGAAGTTATTGTAAAAGAGAGACTTCGTATATACAATGACAAGGTACTCTATAATAACTTTTTTTTTTTTTTTTTTATTTTTTTATAGTTTTCATTCTGATTTTTACATGAATACTAAAAACACATTCATATATCGTCATACAACTATCCAATAAATAAATAGTTATAAAATCATTACATCTATTAAATTGACACATAGAATAAAAGAAAAACAATACTCAAGTCCAATTTATTGTATACAAAGTTTAAATTCCACACTATTCCCAATCACATTAAAACATAGTCTTATCAACTAACTAATTAAATGTCCTCATGAGAAATATATAGACTTGAAACTTGTTGCATTAGGATAGATCTCCCCTCGATATGTGGGTCATGACACGAAACATTTCTTCCTCCTGAAGTAAAAAACAAAACCCAATATAAAGGTTACCAAAATAGATGACAATGCTTACTAAATAGGTGCATCAAATTACATTTAAAAAATAATTTTTTTATTTTTTATATTAAATTAATTATATTATTTTATTTTTTTCTAAACAAATTAGCAAATTAATTAAATAAATCAGATTATTTCATAATTTTAATTTTAAAGCCCAAATCATTTTTAAAACCCATTAGCTCATTTTAATTTGAAGCAAATGAATATACTTTATGTAGTGTTGCTGTAATATTAATATCTACTTTTTGGTATTTTTATGCATTGAATTTATCTTATTGGACGGCTAGTTATTTATATGTTTTTGAATTGGGCTACGTTAATTTGTGAAAGTTAGAATGAAATGTCATTAGTTGTATTTATGTAGTGTTGCTGTAAATATTAAAAAATTTAATTATGGTACGGGACCGAACCGACCCCTACTTATGATCTAAGCCTCCGTTTGGCTTCCATTTTTTCCATTACATTACATTAATTTTTTCTCTCTCTTCGTTTCAACCACACATTCATCAAATAAAATAATATTACACACAAATTTAAAATTTTTCATTACTTTTCTACACACATTCTTTCATCAATCATTATTCCAAAAATTTTCAACACTCCAAAATGGGGGCAAAACAGGGGCTAAAAGTTTAGAGAAGATCTACAATGCTTGCTCATCAACAAGAACTAGAATTATAGAACAGTAAACGGGACGGAAAGAAGAGGAGGAGAGAGAGGAAAGAGGAAGAGGGATAGAAAGAAAGAAAGGGGAGAGGAATCGGAGAGACAGTCGATAGAAAAGAGCACAAATTGGATAGGAATATAGTCTTATTTAATAATCAAATCTGTTGAATACAATGCATAAGCCATATTTATATAGAGTTCTAACTAATATAATTTAAGTAGGCAACAACTAAAGAAGTAACATAGAATACTAGAAAATTTATAAAATAAACCATAATTCTTTTACTAAAATTAGATTTTAAACTTGGAAAGTCTTCACAGATTATATCTAATAGGATCTCATCACATTTGTATCCTTTTAAGTATTATCTCCAGCATGATAGTTTGACACAATTTTCTTATGTACCAGTAAATAAAGTAATATGCCATCTTTTCCTATACTTTCATCATTCCACAATTTAGTAGGAAAATAGATGGCAAATGAGGATATGAACTAGGAGGTATGACATAGTCTAAAGAGCAGTTGTGATGTTCCTGGCTTATGAAAACAAATGCGAACTCTGATAAATCATTTGATGTCAGGTCACTAGGATATGACTTATGCTTGCCGTTTTCTGTTCTCTGTTATTCGAGGTTGACGTCGTAGTTTATATCACACTTCATGCTAGTTATTTCACGGATGCACCTGTTAACATGCTTATTACTTTTTATGTTTTTATTTTGTTTTTACCCAAAGGACTAAGGGCGATTTAAGTTCTTTGTGCTCTAAGAAGTTTCTTTACTAAAATCCAGTAACATGCGTATTAGAAAAGATTGGGTTGATCATGTGAAATATCTGACTTCTTGATAGATTTACGCAATTTAATTCCTTTTGGGTGCTTCAGAGTCAGCCAGTGGAGGAATTTTACCGTGCTCGAGGAAAGTTGATTGAATTTGACTTGCCTGGAGGTATCCCGGAGTCCTGGCCAAGGTTGCTGGAAGCACTTAACCTTGATGATTACGATGACAGACGGTCTGCAGCAGCATAAATTTCTATACATTGCTTTGCATGCGTTTTCCCGCTTAAAATTTTTGCAGAGAAGACTATTTTTCCTTTCATAAATTTCTCTATCCGAGACAAATATCATATAACCGCGAAGTTCACTGAGCTGTTAATCCTATGGCGGTCTTGTGCGCTTCTCTCGTATTCTTTAGAATAATTTTAATGTAACGCAATGCCGTTATGGAGAGGATTGGCTTTTAAGCTGTCATTTGTAATAATTCCATCACCAATGAACAATGATGTATTACAAGTTTTTGAAAATTGAATCCATTTACATATTTTGGACAATGCCATTTTCGATATTCCACGTTTCAGAACTGCTGATAATATAGATGCTTTGTTATATTAGACATGGATCATGCTACTTGTACATGTTATTTTACACTAAGTTTGATATTGTGCCACATGTCGCATCATGATTAGCCAGTTTTTAAAAATTACACACTTTTCCGCCAACAACACTTTGAATTTCCAAAGCATGTCAAACTTTATGTCAACAAAAGAATGTACAAATGGCTTAATCCATTAGACATTTGGGGTGCAAGCTCGACTTGAAGAAATTCGCAGTAGATCTTAGACTTCAAAACGGCTGGCTCGAGTAAAAAAAATTGGTACTTAACGTTTTTTTTCAAGTTGTCGCGGATGCATTTACATCTCATTATATTATTTATTTTGTGGTAAGGTCGATTTTTGGGCAATTTTTTTTTTTTTCGTTATATGATACTCATAGTGTATACGCAATTTTGTGGATTATTATTGAAATTGCTTGAAATATATAATTTTGGTGATAACACGCACGATGCATTTCTTGACAAAAGCTGAAAATTAGGTAGAAGTAAACATCAAAAAGTTGTAACATGTGTGCTTACACTTTTCAATCCAAATATCTATAAAACATTACCTAATCAAACACCAAAGTGACCAAACGACTGAATCACAATCAACTTTAAATTTCACACACAACCCTCTGCTTTCTTGTTTGCAACATTTTCCAACACCACAGACTAAATAGCTCTCTCTCTCTCTCTAGAAGCACAGCAAAATTCTTGCCAACTTCTCATTGCTACTATCTAACAAAACTCCATGCCATTTTCGTTCGAGTACATTTCAATTTCTTACATCCTTAAACTTCGACAGGGGCTTGAAAGATAGAAGAATCACGCGTATGTAAGGTCAATTCTTCTTTAATTTTCTAACTGCTATGAGTTATTTGTTGTAGATTTTTTGAAAATAGGTTATGTAACAAATGATTTTTTTTTGAGAATGTGAGATTAAAAAGTAGGAAAAATTATAGGTTCATATTATTTTAACGAGCTAATGTGTAATTGAAAATAAATTTAAGAAAAAATGGATTTTTAAGAATATGTACCAAACATGAACTGACACACAAATCTATGATTTCCTTACGCCACAACCTAAATTAGAAAAAAACAAGAATATACAAACTAACTACAACAGATTAACTAATTTTTATTTTTTTGTCTAATTACGAAGAGATAGGCAGCTTAAACATTGAATTATGGGTGCTTTTGTCTCCTATTATTGGGAGAAAAATAGATTAATAAATAGTATTTTTTGAAGAATGTGTGGTTGAAATTTAAAATAATTTTATTTGTTTGTATGTAGAATATTTTATTAGGGTGAATGTGTAATGGAGAATTTTATCGTAGCAAATAATTTTTTGGAACAATGATAGATAAACAGGGGCTATATGTACATTTTGTACTAGTATGTTGCCCAAGTTTCCAAATTTAATCATATGTTGCCCAAGTCTCCAAATTTAGTATACAAATGTGTACGGGTTGTTTGATGTGAGATTTGTTTTTGTTTTCACTTTAAGTGCTTTTGGAGGGATATAATTTTATGCAGTTCCACTGAAATTACAATCCAATTTAGATAGCGCTAAATGATAAGTTGAATGAAAGTAAAATAAAATGATTAATTTAATTTCATGTATCATTTAGCCCCTATTTGGTACACATTCTCATTCTCATTCTCTTTTTTCATTTCAACCACACAATCTCCAAATAAAATAATATTACACACAAATCTAAAACTTTTCATCATTTTTCCACCACACATTCTCCCATCAATCACTATTTCAAAAATTTTCAACCCATTAAAATGGGTGTCAAACACTCCCTTAATATCACGTTGAAGCCATCTAGTCTGTGATTGTAATCCCAGTGAGGTTAAATAGTATTACTCTCTAGAGAAAGTCATCTTAGCTCCCGTTCGGAGCACATTTTTAGTTCATTTGAAGAAAAATATGATTGTTAGCCTTCAAAAAAATGACTGCCTTTTTATTTTCAACGATTATATTTTTCATTTTTTTGATTAAAAATGTGCCCCAAACGGGGACTTGATTTTTGTTTGAAAACAAAATTTTAAAAGCACCTAAAAGTGTTTTTGGAAGAAGTCATATCGAACAAACTTTTTCTAAAAGTTCTTATAATTAGAAATACTTTCATAAAATTATTTAAACGGGTCCAAAAACAGTTTTTGAGTTTCACAAACTCGTTTTGACTTTCAAAAGTTGTGCAAAGGTGTTCTTCCTCTCTCCATCCACAAAGATGGTTTTCTTCTCCTTTTTTGTTAGAGTAATGTTATTCATAGTCGCTCACTACAGCAGTCGTTCAATGTGGTATACACATGACATATGGTATTTGATGCAGTAATGTGGTATTTTTTTTTACTACATTAATGCATTAAATAAATTCTTGACATTCGTGTGCCACATATGACGACTGCTGAAGTGAGCGACTGTAAATATCATTATTTTTTTTTTGTTAATCTCAAATTATATGTCACTTTTCTCGTTGAGAGTATAATTAATATATTCATTTTTTAATGTACCTCTATTTAATGTGCTTTGTTCATCAACAAATATGAACTATTATTATTCAATGTACCGATATAATAGGAAAAATGTATGTAAATTTTTTTTTTTTAATATATAAGAAAATAAACGTAAGTATATCTTTATGAGACTAGTGAGGTACTTTTTTCTCAAATTGTGTGTGGGCCCAGAGACCTTTTTAGTGCATTAATGGATTGTACTTCCACACGTAGATTATGATTTGATCGGATGGTTGAGCAAACACTCCACTGGTGGGCCACGTAGATATTTTTCGGATATTTCTGCAGTGGTATTTATGTCCTTTCGTACAAGGCTAATCTTGTCAATTAACATTCAATTAACGCCGTTAAGTTCATTTGTCGTAGCCAAGTGAAGAATCCCTGACGTCCGAAAACGGCGTCCCTTTCACCTTAAAGTTCGAGATATTTTTCCCCTAAACTGCCACGTGTCTGTCAACTCAAGGCTCCGAATCGCTTGAGCTCTTTAATTTAGATTTTGTCCACGTCATCTTCGTAAACATCCGAACATCCCACGTAGAATATTTGATCTTACGTTTCACTTTGAGGACCTGTAATTTGTCCACGTAATCATCCACGTCATCATAAAAAAAGATTCTTCTTTATTCCCCTGTATTTTCTGAAGCCAACCAAGACCCGATAAATTATACAGCCCAGTAATCTTATCTTAATCTTAATCTTAACCCTAATTTTACTTCAACCAATCTTGATTTGACTTGTGGCTTCAGCAGGAATTCAATTTTGCTGTCCATATTCTAGCTCTGTTTTATCTTTGAAATTGTCCAATTTTTTATGTCAAATTGAAATCGATTTACTCCAGTTTATGTTCTGAGGTAGTTTTGCTTCATATTGAGCCTCCTCTTTTTGTTTATATATAAATATCTGCGAAGAATTCCTTGTTGATTGTTTTGAAATTTTTTCATTTTCTGAATATGTTAAATTGATGGTAATTTTTCTCTTTCGTGGATGGTTCATCAAACAGTTGATTTTCGAATGGATGTGATTCCTTTTTAAAATAATCTATTTCTGTTAAAATTTAGGTTCTATGGTTTGCAAAAGAAAAGGTATTTTGTTGTTGCTAAAGATTAGGGTTCGAGTTTAGTGTACTGGCTGATAATCTGTTTGGTTGTTTACAGGGTACAAGCAATCGATAGGGCATTCAGGAATCTGGAAAGACGACGATTTCATTTCAGACTTTAGTTCTTAATCTTGACCTCTGCTTTTGTTGTTACTGAATTGATTATTTGGCATTTTTAATAGTGGATTGGGGTCTTGAAAATGAAGAATTTGAATTCTTGAAGAAAAATGCTACTGCCTATTTATCTATGTCCTGTTTGTTTTGAATCAAGAGTACGTCAGAGACTTCCAACAGAGATGGATGACTCTAAACCTTTGTAGTTAGCAGTTTGGAATTTGGTTGGCAGGAAATGTGTCGATGAATATTGATGCTAATGGAGAGAAAGTCAATGGATGAGGACAAGGGCATCGAAGAACGAGACTTGGGTAAGGAGAAAAGTTCCTTTATAAATAATGCCTTGAAGGTCAATAGAGTCAATGAAGAACGGAAAGATGGGGCCAGTGGGGGGTTGCAAGTTCAAGGCACTCTGCAAGTGCAGCAGCCTCTGCCACCACCTCAGGGGACAGTGGTCTGTTGGGAGAGGTTTCTTCATGTTAGATCCATTAGAGTCCTGCTGGTGGAGAATGATGATTCTACACGGCATGTTGTCACTGCTCTGCTCCGAAACTGCAATTACGAAGGTTGGTATCTTCGGGTGATATGATAAAGGCTCGTGTGTGTGTGTCCAGAATGTATTTGTATAAACAGTTGTGATGTTATATTTCTATGTTGGCCGTGACAATGCTAAAGGAGAACATGTGAGCTGAGTATTACGTAAGAACTGAGCTTCATGCACGCTTGGACATTCAAGAGATCATGTCCAATCTAACCTGTTCTTTAGTATCTCAAGTAGAAGGAACACATTCCATGTTATGGTTTTTTACAAAAGATTTTGTTTTTTGGTTTGACTCCTTTCGTTTCATTTTCTCGAACGATGGTCGATGGTCAATTGTTAAGTTTAGAAATGGAAAAGCAAAGGAAATTATTAAACATCAAACATGTTTAGAGATGTGCTATAGCACCTAAATATATTACTTTGTCTTGGTGACCAGTGTATGTTGCCGATTTGTCACTCATAAAACAACATTTGTGCCAAATAATATACTGCCTAATAGTACGACAAATATGCTATGAAATGAAGAATGCTTTGTACTGGAGAAAATATTCCCTGACAAGTTCAAATAGATTTATTAATTTTTTAACAATAAATGAGTGTTCCTATAGAATGTGCATTTAACTTCTTGAAAGTGTACCTTGATTTGTATTTAGGGCAAACAAAAGTCAATAGTATTTACCCATTCATCTGGCTGGTGGTGTGTTGGTATGGCTACTCTGGCCTTAGTTAGACCAATACAGTATCAGCTAACCCAATGTGTCTGTGAAGAATATCCCCCTCTTTAACACCTTTTTAATTGTTTTAGTTAGTAGAATCCTCTTAATCACCTTAATGGGAATCAGTAGATAGAGTTTTTTTTTTTTTTTTAAATTTAATTTCCAAACTAGATGCTTATTTTTAGAAACATAATTAGAGTTTGATTTTATAGATTTTCCCGCTTCAATTAGGACTAGCTTAAACTCTTTCCACCTCTCTCCTTCTATCTCCCCCCTTTCTCTTCTTCTCTTCCTTTTCCCTTCTCCTATAATTATATAACGGCCTACATCAATTTGGTATCAGAGTTCAAATCGTTTTATGTGGCCAACAAATCTAATCTCCACCCCATTTGCCACCTCCTATCACCTCCTTTCCACACACCTACCTTTACCGCCTATATTCTAGTCGACCGACGCCTTACTCTTCCTTGACCACTAGCAAAGCACCCATATGCACAACACAATCCCACCCTACCACACCACCTCCATCGACGCTGTAGATCTCTTCATATCCAACCACCACCGTCCTCTTCTTCAAACTAGAATCCTTCGCCGTGGTAATCAAACATTAGAAACAGTAACTGAAATCCAGGGCCCAACAGTAAACATTAGTCTCCATTTATCCAAAAAGCAAAAATAAACTCAGAACAAGTCGCGTTTATCTCCCTTCTTACGCTGTTGTCAATTGCCGCTTCCTCCAATCAAAGCTTTTGGCCAAGACATTTTGGTCATCTCCAACGAACATGGACAGATTTTGAGCCACCCTAGTGATCTGATCATGTTTGTTCATATGGAATCACATTTTAGATGGATTGATTTTGTATTCTGCTGGATAGCCAGTTGGTATATTTGGTCTCATGAGGTATATAATTTTGTCATTTTGGAAGCTCTACATTCTATTAGGTGTTTGTGGCCAGCGCAATATCATATTTCTAAGTTAAAAAAAAAAAAAAATTTATTTGTAAAAACGTTATACTGTGCCTTTAACACCTACAACGCGCCCCTCAGTCAGTACCACTATAATGTGCATTCCCCTTCTCCTCGTTATTACAATTACCTTCCATCTAGGAACTTTATCGGAGACTTATATTCTTCTTCTAGGCAAGTCGCATCTCACTGGATACGATTCATTTCTTGATTATCTCGATTCTCTTGAACAATTTTTTGACTTTTACAGCTTGAGTAACTTTCTTTGTCTTTATCATGCTAACATGACACTTGTCAGATTTGCTAGATGTTATTGGTATTCCTTTATACGTGACATTGATGGTCTAGGTCAACGCCCTATCACTTTTGTGGGATGAGAAACGAGTAGTAAATAATAAATATGCTCCTATGTATTATCGAACTCAATTGCTAGATTAGTTCTTTTTACAATGTAGGCAAGGTTCGTCCACCTTTGGGAAATATCTAGCCCACTTCAAAGAGTTATTGCACAATTGTGATATTTATGAAGCTCCTCACATTACAATGTCTAGAATTCTAAACGGTTTGAATCCTAAAAATATACGTCAGGACTTTTCCGCACCATAATCCTTAGATGAAGCTTATTAACATGTTGACCTATAGGACACATCCATCCGTCTTCGCAAAGCTTGTCACAAGCTAGATCTACCACCCATCCCAATAGTCACCTCCTGAGTCTAGTTGTGTTAATCGAGGTTTCAATTGTTGAGCCAATTGAATATTCCGATAGCAAGAATGTAGAATTATCTATAGTGCTGCCACCTAAGTTAGACAGTTCACATGTCCTCGATTTCATGCCGAAGTTGTTCTTGTCTAATCTTTTGTGTGGCACTAGCATTGACTATGACATAGCTTTACCTTTACTATGTGATAATCTATGGGTTGCCGCATTTTCCAAGGTCATTGTTCGTTCATACTTTTCCTATTGACATTGATTGTTAGCTACTAATTATCGTCATATTGCTTTAGCTCCGTACTTTGTTGGTTTTCATGTCAAGTTTAAAAGAAAAACTGTTTTCAGTCACGACCCTTGTGAGCTTGCAGTTGACTCACAATTAAGATACAGATACTGTCATGATGATTTATGCCTTGTTACTCGTTTTTTTGGCACGATTTTCAAAATATGTAAAGAAAAATTGGATCACTCACTTGAACTTAATCTATTTGACTTACTGTTACACTTAAATGAATGTTTGGTTTTCAATATGGCAGAATTATTTCTTTATTGGGACACATTCGAGCCACCGTTGATGCATGCATTTGTTTCTTACTGGCCAATCTACTATACTAGTGCATTATGCTTCTTATTTGGATTCCTTAGTTTTTCTAAATAAGTTGCACATGTTGTTGCTTATTGGAGTTCCTCGTCGCTACCTGGTTAAAAGGAAAGATCCCCCTTGGTCAGATTAGATGCTTAGGAATGTTTTTCTAAATCAGTTGTTGACATTTGGATGGTATCGTTATTTGATCGAAAAAAAGATTGTCCTTCTTGGTTAAAAAGTTGTAATCTATCTCATCGGAGTCGAGTTTTCTCGGTTAGGTAGAAATGACGAGAATTAGTAAAGAGAGTTTTTTTAATTTAGTTTCCAAAATTATATGCTTATTTTTAGAAACATAATTAGGATTTTATTTTATAGATTTTCCTACTTAAATTAGGACTAGTTTAAACCATATATAAAGGGGCTTTTGCATTGTAAGAAAAAGAACTTTGATAATGAAATAAAATTGATATTCTCCCGTCAATTCTCTCTTCCCCCTCCCTCCCTTCCATCTGTCTAATTCTTCTTCCCTTTCTATCTCTCTTGTTCTATGTCCTCCTTTATCTTCTTCTATTCCTTTCCCCTTCTCCTATAATTGTTCAATTGTGTCCTACGTCACACCTTATCTTAGAAATTCAAATGCTTGCTTTGTGGAGAGTGGTTTTGTAGGGTATGGTTGTAGGTGCAAAATCAACCACTGTAATTGCAGATAATATCTTTGTTATACAACTGAATTAGCTGAGTTTGGCTTGTGCACAAGCAGAATTCTACCATGAGGTTCTGCATTTTCTAAATGTTGCTGTTTTTCTTCAATTAAATAGTAATATTTTCTTTTACATTGGCAACAAGAAAAAACTCGCTCTTAAGTCTTAAACTAATGATAAAATTAAACAAATATAATCTTTAACTCATTCCACTACCTCACATAACAAGGAAATATTTGGTCAGTTTACTGTCATCAGAGTGAGTGAATGTATATGAGAAATTCACCTTAAAGTCTGTTCATATTGTTTCTTGGGCTGATCTGCAGTTTATCAAATTATAGTTGGTATAAAATAAAATCTACTCACTTCCTAATGCTGTATATGAGAAACAGTACTTTTCTGGATAAACCAAGATAGCGTTATATGGATTTTATTTATTTTCTTGTAGAACTCTGGACAGTTGGAAGTCCTATGTCAGACTCAGGCACTTTTACACAAGTCATATGCATGGTCATACAGTGCACAAAACCCCGCTTGCTCTAATTTCTGATAATTTCGAGTGTGCTCAAATAAAAACATTTGTTACCACAATTTTTATGCTTATTTTAATTACGACGTGTTATTTAAGGGACTTCTTATGCTTCATTGGGTCAATTCACCTTGTTGAAGCATATGTAGCTCCTCTTAGAACTCTACAAAATCCATTATGAAATTGATTAATGATTGCAGAGCTCTAATTCCTTAGTTGCAAACTTGCAGCGGCAAAAGTAATAAGTGAAGAACCTTTGTGAATAATTTACCATAATTTCTCTTTTTCTGAAGTTTGACACCATTAAGCTGATAAATAAAGATTCTATGGTTCATCTGGTCACTTGCAGTGCTGGAAGCAGCCAATGGATTGCAAGCATGGAAGATTCTTGAAAATTTAACCAATCATATTGACCTTGTCTTGACAGAGGTAGTAATGCCTTGTTTATCAGGAGTAGGTCTTCTATGCAAGATAATGAACCACAAAACACGCAAGAATGTTCCTGTGATCAGTAAGTAAATATCTCTCTGTGTTACTAGTGTTGCAAGTGTAAAATATTCTGTTTTACTTAAAACGTCTTCAAACTAAATGTTGTTAACCCTGACTCTGGTTGAGGTTTATGTGCAGTGATGTCCTCTCATGATTCAAGGGGTTTAGTCTTTAAGTGTTTGACGAACGGTGCAGTGGATTTTCTTGTTAAACCTATACGTAAAAATGAGCTTAAGAACCTGTGGCAGCATGTCTGGAGGAGATGCCACAGCGTGAGTCCTTGTACATTTCTACTTGGCTTTGCCACTGCTCTGTCAACTTCAGACACTGGAAAATAAGCCAATATTTATGGACATGCTTCTCTAATAATAACTGGGACACGTGTTGTGGATTCTCAAGTGAACATAAAAAACTTCCACTCCAAACTAATAGGAGTTGCCTGCTACTGGCTCTGGGTTGTGGTTGGGTTGGGTGAATTATAGGTGGGAAATTTGGATTTCCACTTGCTTGAAATTCTACCCATCATCACCGCCATTGAATAAAAACGAAAAAGAAATGAAGAAGCACATTTCCATCCACACACAACTGTTTATGGTGAAACAACAGAGTTCAGAAAAAATGGATGTTAGTTATAATTTCCAATTTTTCATTGAGCCTGTCCTGGTTAGTTGTCCCTTTGTGTCCCCTCGATAAACTCCCTGATTCTTTATATATTGGTCGATGACAGTGAAAGAAAAAAAAAATAGAAAAATTATTAATGATTGGGACTAGTTAATCAAGGGGACACAAAGATGAACTTGGCAGATGGACCTTTAAGGTATAAACATTTCTGTTTTGTATCTGGCAGTAAAAAATATTTTTCAGAATCTTCTACTACTTTCATCCTATTTTTATTATATAATCTGTGTTATAGACATTACTTAAAGGCATCATATTATGTGCTCTTTATCCTTTTCTTTACAATTAATTTATTGCTCCTCAGTCTAGTGGAAGTGGTAGTGAAAGTGGGACACCAACTCAAAAGTCTGTAAACTCAAAAAGTATTGTCAAGTCAGACAACAATAGTGGCAGCAATGATGGGAGCATTGGTTTCAATGTTGGTGATGAAAGTGATGATGGAAGTGGTGCACAGGTACTACAATTTATCCCTCTATTCTTCTTCTTTTTGGTTTGAAAAACTTCAAGTTATTGTTACATGTCTCCCTGGTGATGTGTCTTATGTACGTGCACACAGCAGATTGCAAGCAGGTATGTTATTGCATATAGATTGGTTGATTTTTGTTTTTAGGAGTTCTTAAATTGAGTAGTATGTATATAAATAGCATTCAGTAGCATCTGAATGATTTACTTCGATTGACCTTACCTGATTATGTTCCCATGCGGAAGAGCCTGAATGTATTTTGTCATTTTTGTTGAATAAGGAGGTCTATTGGGAGAATCCTGGATGAACAGTTATCTGAAAATGTTAACTCTTTTTAACCTGTGGAAGACTCGAGTTATTTTGCTTCAACGCGCAAATAGCTTGTGCAAAGAAGCGAGGAAGGAGTAAACAAGAACGTGTTTTGACATTATGCAATAACTATCGTATATACAAGACAACAATAAGTTAGATGATACCTGAATATAATTTGGCTTCTACTTTACATATTATTACATGTATAAAGGAGGAGATTATTGCAGGTAATTTATGTTTTGAACTGCCTTTTGTTTCAGATTCATACTACTAAGAGATCTGTCAACTTGTGTGTATTTTAAATTTAGAAGAAAAGACTCCATTTATACAGTTACAAGTAACCAAAATAGGAAAAATAAATTTTCCTACTATGATCTTCCTATAATAACCTGACACAATCTTTCTTATGAATACCTACCCTAATTTGACCTGTTGACACTAATATGTAGAATATAAAGAAAAAGGAAAACAGAGAAAAATATTCTTCTTAAAATCTGCAAATATTTTATGCTAGTACTGAAAATAAAACTAGTGAAGAATAAAAGTCAAATCTTTCAAAGCTGCCCCTCAAGCTGGTGTGAAGATATTTTTCATTTTGAGCTTGTTTAGGATTTGACTAATAGTTACATAGGCTATCCTTAATTTTGAATTTTTTAGCTAATTGTCTCCCTTGAAATAAGGTATGCTGTCAAATTTACTCGAGAAAGAAATCGGTTGAAAATTTTAAAAGTCATCAACTAAGTGCTTGCTTGGCTAAGCAAGCTTTTAAGTGCATATAAGTAGTGGGTTCCAAAAGAATGTGTTGTTAAAAAGAAGATAAAAGTTGTTGGTCTTGAGGAATTTGCGGTTAAAACTGATGTTTGATTAGTTCATAAGCACTTGAAAGCTTTTCCAAACATACACTGAATCGTAAAATTCATCTAATGTGCTGTAATAATAACATTGACCACAAAGCTTGTTCATGCTGCCAAGCCAAATGTCACTACCATATGCTAAAAAGGCTACAACTGAAGGCATGAGTTTTGGTAGTAGAAGTACAAAAAATATGCATATACGTTGTTTGCAAATTCCAATATAAAAATGGACAAGTCACCTACTAGAGATAAGATAGTTGAAAGGAAAACCTAAAATCATTGCTTGGTTAAGTCCAACATCTGTAGTGAAGAAGACTTCAATACTTCATTAGTTTGATGAACTTGATGGAAGACCTAATAGCTAAAAAGGGTCCTTTCCTTTGTGTTAAAAAAATGCTCTTGATATGGGCCTGAAGAATCTTTAAGTGAATCTTCAAATAATCTAATTCAGAGGGTTGTCTTAGTTAATCCAATCCCAACTTTCAACTAGAAAGAACTAGTAAACGAGCCCAGGGATAATCCAAAGAATGAGCCTAAGGGAAAATAGGATAGGCAAATCCAGGTGACAATTCCAATTTATGGAGTCATAAGCTTAGTGAGAGAGAATATAAATTACGTCATTTTGGATGCGCTATTGTTCTACCAGGTGAATGAATATCCTTGCAGAAGATGGTTTTTATTCAACCTGGTTTCACCTATTACTTCAAAGTTTTAATTGGTTTTTTTCTCTCTTCGCATTGGATGCTACTATATTATAGGGCGATGGAAGTGGAGGAATGACATCTGTTATAAAAAAATGTACAGATAATTTTGTGAGTTGTGAAAGCTTTTTATATGAAGTTCTTAAAGTTTTTCTTCAATGTGTGCACGATACCTTTTTTTTCCAGAGCTCTTGGACAAAGCAAGCTGTGGAAGTTGACAGCCCTCAAGTTATGTCTCCTGGGGATCAAACAGATGAGTGCCTGGACAGCACTTGTGCGCAATTTATTCGCTCAAATGCTGAGATTTCTGGTAATAAAAAGGTGCTTACGAGTGTAGCAGGGGAAGGTGATGAAAAGAAACAATCCGGTATATTGAGTGTTAGTTTTTGGCTTTGTTCTTAGTTTTATCTAACCAGATCTATCAACAAATAGTATTTTCTTTCTAGACACTATTGCAAAGGGCAAAGACCAGGAGACAGTCATACCTAGAAATTCAGACTCACGATCTGAAAATCCAGTTAAAGCTTCATTTGAACATAAGACAATGCCAGAAACTAATTGTGATATGTGGAGCAAGCGAATTGACGAGGGACACGCCAATTCCATAGGTGAAAGCCTGTTTAGCAATTACAAGGTTGTCAGTGTTAAGAAGGACAATCCTCTCACTGTTAGCAAAGAATCTCAGTCTACTAGAGAAGTGGCAAACAGGTTAGACATCAACAGTGATGCAGCTGATGATTCTAAAGAACAAAGCTTTAAGAGGCTTAGAGGATTTCAGGACACTGGGAGAACTGTTCAAGATGACCGCTTTGTCTTACCACGTTATGAGCAATCAGCCTTCTCAAGGTCATAGAGAACAAAGATCACTAGTTGATGATTTTGTTACTTGTCAATTTTTTGATTTTCTTTTCATCAGGAACTAACTGATTTCTACTATTGAAATTGATATCTGATTCAGCTAGTTGTTTGTGTCTCTCACTTTGCAGGTACAATACATCCTCAAATCTCTTCAAGGTTCCTAATGGTTGGGTAACTGCAAGCAGTTCTATAGTTGACAATAGTGTAGAAGTTGCAAAGCTAGAGTCCGTCTCCAATATACAAGCTCAATCAACTGACCATCTTCTATATCAAATCTCAAATGAAGTTAGGAATAACATGGATATAGGCTCCTCCAGTACTAAGCTTTCAGCAAACACAGCAATTGTGAAAGACGAGTTTGAAGCAGCATCTACAATTATTGGTTTGCATCCTTCCTCTGCTTTCAGATCTGTTAAAAATGACCTAAGATGCACCAAACAGCAAGTCAGTCTAGTTATGACTCATGACATGCAACCTACATCAGATTTAGCTTCAGTAAGGGGCTTGCACCAGGAGTTCCAAATGCAGCACACTCATCATTATCACCAACATCATCACCATCACCATTTCCACATCTTGGAACATCCATCATCCAACCATGATGAATCCTCTCTAAAGAAATTGACTGCAGATGCTTCACACAGTGGAACGTCAAATCTTTTAAGTAGACCCATGGATGGTAACACCAGGTCCTATAGTTTGAATAAAACTGCTTTGGGATGTGATCATGGAAGCACTGGACAGATTGGAATCGGGACTGCTGTTAATGCTGTGGGGACTATAGCCAAAAGCGATGTAGGTGAAGCTGGCAAAAGTGGGAGTAGAGATGCCAGCGGCATTGGTAGTGGAAATGCAACAAAGGAAAACAAACTTGCACATCGAGAAGCTGCCGTGACCAAGTTTCGTCTGAAGAGAAAGGGAAGATCTTTCGGGAAAAAGGTAGATAATGCATATCCTATGGGTCGCTATTTCTGTTGTACCAGCATTGTTCTTGTATGGGGCTCATTCATTTTTCTCATCATTTGATTCCAGTTTTATTTGGTTTGTTGAAAAAAGGATTCTTATACCTCTACTCATTATGATTCAAGCAATGTCTTGTATTTGCCTAAGAGAAGTACGAAATATTCTGCACAAGTTAATTTGGTAACTATGTTTCTCATATGGCTTGGTCCATGAGAATAAATTTTAAGGACAAGTGAACGTCCATCTTACATTTAGTACATTCCAGTATATGCATAAATTTGCATTCAAATCCAAATATAGTTGGCTCCTGCAAATATCCCAAGGTTTAGTTCTACCGAGTTCTCTCGTAATTAAGTAGCATCTTTAGTGCCCTTCTTCCTGTTGAAGTTCATATTAGATTCTCCTCAGTAGTTAGCCTACATTATAGTTCAGAGGCCATAACCCAGGTGGCCATGCCGTGTTGTGGAACCTCATATAATTTGTTTTCTGTCTATGATCATGTACCTATTTATGATGCAAATCTTCAAAATGCCACTGTTCAATCTTGAGAATGTTTTCTCCTTTGTTTTAGGTGCCTGTAGCATTGCAAATCCCTGCCATCATACCTCAACGGTTGATGATGTTAGTTTCTTTGTGGTTTAAATGTAGAGGCATATTATAATTAAGTTTGGTCCAATATCCAGTCCTGCAATTTCTCTAAAGTTCCCTATTTTTAGGTCTAGGGTAATAAAGTAAGTTGTGGCTCTCACCTCGAGGTTATTTTTGAAGTACGGCTAGGTTTGCTATGCGTTTAGTATTGCATATAACTGAACTTGTCATTGGTGCCGCCAGAGGAATTTATATCTGTCGGTAACACAATTGATTATTAAATCCTAAGAAGTATATCACAAATCTGATAAAATCCCTTAAAGATTTAGCGAGTGTTCTGCGGAGGAAGGAAACCAAGCCTAGAGTTCCATACTTGCCTTGAAATTTTAATGCTGATACCTTGATGAGCCCTTTGCTCAAGCTTCTATTCACCTTTAGAAAGCAAAACAGTATTTTGATATGACTAGATGTTTCTTAAGTATCTACAATCTGTTTTATCTATCATCACTTTAATATCAAATAAGCTACACAGTAGAATAGGAATTAATTTCATAAAATAAGTGCTGCAAATTCAACAGTGTCACTGCTTCATCTTTGAAGTGTGCAACTAAATGCTTCAATGGTATGGAGTCATATTCTAGAAAATTCATTTCTAATCAATAATGCTATTAAGAAGTTCAATACCCTTNAATCAATAATGCTATTAAGAAGTTCAATACCCTTGTTCCAATTTTTCTTCTGATTGGATCATTGAAGTCTAAACTTGAAAGCAATTCTCAGAGCGCTGATCTATGAGGCTTTTACAGGTCTTCTAGACATGATTTCTTAAAATTATCATCTTTTATTAACTGAAATCTCACATCCAATTAGATTGAAAAGGTGAATAAAAGAAAGCTAGATTCAGACTTTAAGACTTCGTTACCTAATGCTTTTATTTGCACATATTACTATAGAAGATCAAGTTCCTTTTAGATATTGTTATTTTTTAATCCGTTCCTGAAAGTACAGAGTTTCAGTGAGACAGGCTTAACAATACTCAATTCACAATGTTTTCAGTTCCCTGACTCATGGATGTGATGTGATGTGAGAAAGAGATTTGGGGATTAGTGATGTCATGATTTTAAAGAGGGTTTTAAATGTTAAGTGGTTTTGGAGTTCTTTGAAGAGTGTGAGGGACGCCTGCTCTACCTTATGGAGTAGGATTTTGGAAAGGAATGATGATAATCTCGGATGATTTTCCAAGGTACTAGTTTTAGGCAGGAATCGAATAGTGAGATTTCGGATGGATGTTAATTGTGGAAATAATACTTTGATTGTTTTCCTGGGCTTTTCAGTTAATCTTGTGCTGAAATGAGCTTCTTGCTGCATCAGTGTCAAATGGGATTGGAAAGGAATGTGTATGTGACATCAAGGTCAGGAGAATTTTCTAGACTTAGAGTCTGCAAATTGCATTGAATTCAAGAGCTGTTTTAGAGCTCTTTTGATTTTAATCAGAGTGGATGCAGGAAAGACTAGTTTAGATGGGGCTAGGAAAGGTGTATTCAATCTTCATTCTTTAGCTTTTTGTTACTGCTTCATGTGGCGGACAGATATTATAAATTTTTTGAAGTTTACAACCCATCCGTTGCTTGTTTGATGTCTGGATGGATTTTGGACCTCTTATAATATTGTGTGGGAGCTAGGTATGCCTCTTGTTACAATTTTATCATAATAATTTTTTCTCGATTTATCAAAAAGGAAATGAAAGAGAGGATATACTTTTTCTGAGAGGAGGATGTAGTTCACTACTTCGGTGGCTTCCTATATTTTAACAACGTTACTGTTAGCAACTGGCAATAATATTTGACCAGATTCTACTCTGTGGGGAGACTATTTATTCGTGATGCTATTTGAAAATATTTTACATGCATTTTTTAGTTTCTCTTGTGATTAGCTGACTACTTGAACCATGAACACCAATTATACTTTCTACAGTGGTCTCATCTTCTACGTGAAAATTTCATTGCTGTAGCATCATATTCTTTTATTGCTCTTTTTGCATCAGGCTCAGAACCAGAAAAGGAGACTAGAAGAACAGCAGCCACGTGTTCGAGGACAATTTGTTGGACAAACAGGGCCTGATAATGCAAACAACAGTGCAGGTGAATAATTAAAATATATCTTGTAATCATAATGTCTTAATTTGTTCTGTGCAAGAAACCACCTACTTGTGCAGGAACATCTTTTTCTAGCATTTGTGATTAATTCTTGAAACCTTGGAACAGTTTAAAGAAATTTGATTTTGACAAAGCCTTTTACAGCACCTAGCCGAATGGTTACTTTTTTCAGCAACAATTTGTTTTTATTATTACTTCTTATCTTAAAGCGTAATACGTCAAGTAATTTGGATCGTATTGGTGTTCGTTGTATGTTCGATTTTCCCTCCCTTTTCTCTGATCCTCTCGAAAATTCTATCTTATCATCAAAATGCATGATTGATAGATGCAAATAAAGAAAATTTATGTTATTTAATGTATTAATGTGAGTCTGAAAAGGGTTTATTGACTCATCTTGTGTTGGAGAGATGGATTGCCATACATGTCAACGTGCCAATTTTACATAAATTTCAATGTATTTCATCGAGAGTCCTTTGAAGAAGAGAATCTTTCATAACTTAAAGCATATTCGGGAAGTGTGTATAAATGTTTTAAATTTCTTCAAGCGGCTTGAGTATTTATAAACGGTTTATATACATGAGCCAAATGTATGGTTAGTTGCGACCCTCCTGCAAAAGTAGAAAAGATCCTCCCTAGGTAGACACGACATGCATGGAGAAATACAGAGAAGCATATTAGAATTCTTTTTCATATCTGATGTTAAGTGAAGGTATTCTGTTTGCAATATTACTGATACTTTAAATGTAAAAAGAAGGTATTGTCTGCTCTCAGTTTCATGACATATCTAATTGAATTGAATTGTATTTTATTAGATCTATATAATTGTATTGAATTTGCAATGAACTTGTTATTATAATCCCAAGATCTGGAGAATAAATGATGCTGATAAATAATCTATAATCAATTTCAAGAAATTAAATGAATTTGTTAGTTTTCAACAAAATAAACCTAAAACAGTAACACCATCCTTCCAAAAGTAACAGAAGAAATTTAGAAGAAACAAAACTTACATTCCAGTAAATGCCTTCTTTTCAAGATCTGAAGAGCTTCTCCTCCTCCTCCTCATTATAAATTGTGCATAGGAACCAATCAACGTTCAATTACAACTTCAATATTTTCACATGCTCACTATTCTGACACGTGTTTACTATGGAGGCCGATGCAGAAGTGAACGTGTGCTATAATTTCTCAATTGCTATTTCTACATTTTAGCATGTGTAGGAATTTTTTATTTTTTTATTAGTAATTATTGTGGCTGTAAAAATTAATTGGAAAGTATTAACTTTTTTATTCTTTAGGGAATTGAATACAAGGTAGAAAATGAAGATTCTAGTTCAAATTACACTACCGGAAGTGTATGTAAAGTACCTATGGATACATGGAAACATATTCGTTTCTTTTTAATGAATCGATCCAATCACAACTTCAAATATGGAATTCAAATAGGTCAGATGGGAAATAGTAATATTATTCATAGTGAAAACCATCGTTAGTCGCCCTACATTGCATACACGTGATAATTTGTTATTTGATGTATAGTTTTCATATGCCCCCGTTTGACACCTATTTTTTTATCTCATCTCATTCTCATTTTTCTACAGTACTCATTTCTAACCACACATTCTCCAAATAAAATAATATTCTACATAAACCCAAAAATTCTTCTTACTTTTTAACCACACATTCTTTACATCAATCACTATTCAAAAACTCATTCTTCAAAAGAATGAGTGCCAAACAAGCCCTTAATTATAATTATTAGAATATTAAATAAATAATTCA